CACATAAATGTATATAACGATTAGATAGACAAAAAGAAAAAGAAATATATATATATATATATATATATATATATAACATTATAAACAGTACAAATAAACATTAATTATATACATCTATTTGTTATACACATACATGGATATAATGAATAAATTAACAGATACAGAAAGCTGAAGAAAAAAAAAGAGAAAGATAGTGAGTATGAGTTCTCTAGCCTCTTTACATTATAAATATATATCATAAAGCAATATATATATGTATATATACATACACACATACATGTATACATACATAATAATATATTGCTTGTCGACGTTTATAAAAAGGCTCACTCGTTCGCTCTCTTTCTATTTATTTCTTTTTTCTTCTATTTCTTTTTTTTGTCTATCTAATCGTTATATACATTTATGTGCATAATAAATAGGTATGTAATATTTTGTGTATTTGTGCTGTATGTAACAGTATTATGTATGCTGTATGTATTATATATATATATATATATATATATATATATATATATATATAATAGTGCGCATGATATTTGAGACGTTTCTGATAATTAAAAAATTTATATTGTACAAATGAATTTGTTTCAAAGCTATTACGTAACAGAAAAATTAAAAAAAAATGTTTTCATGAAAAAATGAATGTCATAATTTTTTTTAAATAAAAGCATCATATTCAATCTAAATCAATTTGTTACAATATTCTGCATCAAAAATTATAAAGATAAAATTGTGAAAAAGTGAAAAGTTTACGAGATATTTGAGTTTTAGAGAAAATATGTAGCTGCTGGTTTACAATTTATATCTTTATTTATATCTGTGTTTTCTTTACACCAATTGATTTAAAATTGGAATAAAATAATCAGAAAATGATTTCATGAGATATTTCATAGTTTATGTACATTATGAAAGTATAATATATCTCATAAGCTATTCGCTTTTTTGGCCATCCTACATTACAACTTATGCAGAATATTGAGAATCGATTTATATAAAAAAATATGATTTTATTAAAAAAAATTCAAGGTAACACTAATTTTTTTTATAAAAATTTTTTTCCTCATTTTTTATTGCTTGTAATAGATTGCACAAAACAGATCAATTTTTACAATATATATTTTTTCTAAACTGTTGCAAACATTTCAAAAATCGTACGTATTGTTATGCTGAACATCGTATTAATATATATATATATATATATATATATATTGATATATATAGTTGGTGTAAAGAAAACACATATTTACCTTTAAAAAAAATATGAAAATTGCAATAAGCAGTTAGATAATTTTTCTTTAAGACAACTATGTGTTTTCTTTACACCAATTGATTCGTCTCATTATTCTGTGCATAAAAGTATTAAGGTATGATAATCGAAAAATGAATATTTCCCAAGATATTTTGTATTTTATGTCAAAATACTGCAAATTTGCAGCCTTATAACTCGAAAAATACTTAATGAAAAAATATTTTATTGTAGTGTTTTGGAAAGATCTTAAAGTCAGCTATAAAAGTATGCAAGAAAAAATATAGTGTTCCATTTAAGAAATTGAAGTTGACCGTCACGTAACCTTCAAATGGCTATTCAAGGTCAAATCAATGACACCATCTCATGTCCCCCTTGAAACCATACAACTTTTATCTGAAACATTTTTGTCTTAAACTTTTGAATTTTGAGAAATTTTAGTGCAAAGATTAAAATGGCTTACCCTGTATATAAATATATATATATATATATATATATATATATATATTTGTATATATGTATGTATGTAGGTGTAATTTTATAAGAACATTCAAATAGACGTTTAAAATGCAATTTTTATTTTTATTTTTAATTTTTATTTTAATTTTTTTTTATTAAAATGCAATTCTCAATTTTTTTTATCTGAAAGATAATGCAATCCTTTGTTTATTTTTTCATGTATAATTGATAATTATTATTATAGTTTTTATAGTAGTTAGTGCCAGAGGCGGTCTATTCGTGTGCTGGTTTAAAAAATAATTCCAGAGGCGATCTATTCGTGTGCTGGTTGTTTTAAAAAATAATTCCAGAGGCGATCTATTCGTGTGCTGGTTGTTTTAAAAAATAATTCCAGAGGCGATCTATTCGTGTGCTGGTTGTTTTAAAAAATAATTCCACAGGCGATCTATTCGTTTGCTGATAACTGTACAAAATATTTTACCCCAGATGCAGTTTGCATGTGCGCAAAATTCTCAGAAGCGATATTGCAATGTTGAAACTTTATAACTTATCATGTGATAGTGACTTTCACGTAATCTTTATGACTGTGCAAGGTCAACACTAATGGTACTATTTTATAGTTCCTTTAAAACCGTACAACTTTTGTTGTTTTATTATAAAATGCATTGAAACAAAGAGATATTAGGGGTAGTAAAAATGGGACACCTTGTATAAATACACACACGCATACATATGTGTATATGTATGTGTAACAACCTGTGTATATATAATTTTTATATAATTATAAATTATATAAAATGGGACACCCTGTATATGTATGTGTGTGTCGATTGACAACTTTTTTATTGCGACATCTGTCGAGTTTTGTCGATAATTATATTTAAAAAATCTTCATTATCGACCCTATCGGAGTTCGCCCGTGCATTTAGGATCCCCTTAAAGGGGTATTGAAATTAAATCTCAAATATGAGATTATTTCATATTTAAAATCTTGGCCGTGTCCAAGTAAAATTTGGTGCCTTGTGCACCGGTATTTAATTCTAACGGAAAATTATTTAGTTTCGTTAGGATAACGCATTGTCATCCGCGATTTGGCTCTTATTGCCCGTCTTATACGTTAAATTTATATTTATATTACAGAGCCTTGTTAAACTCTTAAATTTAACAAATATTATTTTGATAAATTCCTTAGTTAATTGGAATTGGTTCAATAAACGAAATCTCTTTCAATACATCCTTCTAAATTGTACCCTTATATTAAATTGATAACCATTTTCCTACTATTCCATAACGTATTATAAATGAAAACATTAAAACAGAAGATCGCACGTCGGAATAAAAGTAAACATAGAGCTGGGAAAAGGGTTTGTGCTAAGCGTGCCGCATCTACTCTACGTTGTGTCGGGCGACGGTCAACAGATAATAAACTCGCGTCAAATCGTGTGAAAAAGTTATCTTTTCTCCGGAAACTATAAAAAGATTGAAGACTTCATCTATTCAGCTAAATCTTGACAATAAGCTCGTAGCGAACAAAGAAACTCCCCCTTATATTGAGACCGAACCCTCGATCAACCAACCTCTTAATTCCTTTGAATTCTCGACTCCAGAACTACCAAGTTCAATTGATTCTTTAATAGAAGAAGCACTTAATTATTTTGATCTCAGAACTAACTTCCCAGAGTTATCACCAATCTCAGACAAAGGAATTTCCCTTGACTCCAGGATAGAATCCTTGCCAGACAAACCATCTAATAAATTTAGCCCAGAAACCGATTCTTCAGAGCAGTTAGTAATCACGGAATTATACGAATTAGTATCGCAAGTAGAAAGAAATAATTCCCCGGAACAATTTTATTCTACAGACGAAGTACAAACAATAAAAGACCAATTCTCAGAACAGTTATTAATTGCAGAACTGATTTAGTATCACAAATAGAAGAAAATACTTCTCAGAAACAAACTCATCGTAAGAACTTGATATAATCATTAAAAGATCAGTGTCCAGACAACTTATTAGAAATCGATCAATATGCTAATTATTTAGATATTTAACTATTCTCCTATTATTTACCTAAATACAATAGACGGGATCCAGCGGTAAATTAACAAAGATATTAATACGACATTAATGCAATCTCCATCAGTACATTTTCCTTATTAATATCTCCTTGACAATATCCCCTTATTAAATTAGATATTTCACTACCATTCTATATCTTATAAAGACGCGAAATCAGAAAATCAAGTATCGAAAGAAATACAATCATAGAGCAGGTAAAAGGCTCGTGCTAGCCGCGCCGCATTTACCTTACGTTGGCTTCAGCGACAAAACCCTTGTTATGTTTGCGCGAACGCGAGAAGGAGAGCGCGTATTAGAAGGCCGATAGAAATCATTCACTCTTTAATAATTAACACAGAATTTACTTTCACAATTTAACGATACAGTAATTTTACAAAGTTCCAATAGATAAGCCGAGATCGATTTCCAAGTGAGTGTGCGGTAATAATTGCGGTAATAATTGCGGTAATTTATAAGCGGTTTAATAGCGGTTGTACGTACTGAGACTCGAGAGACTAGCCGCCCAATTTTGGTGGGCGCTTCTTTTATCGGTGCGGTACTGAAGCCCCACTAATTTTTACTTCACCAATTAATTTCGGTTATTTAAAAATGTTCGAAGGTGACGCGAGGGCGCCTGTCTTTATTGGAGGCCCCGTAATTTACGCGAAACAAGCACGCACCTGACATGCGCGAAATGCTCGATAGCGAGATCGATTGGCTTTCGGAAGCCACGTGATCGAACGGCGCATGTCTATTACATTGATAATCAATGCGGTGATCGTTGCTTTCGGTTAAGCAATGTTGTTGTTATTGACAGCTTGTTAAAATAATCCTGATTTATCGCCTACTTGTTTATATCGGGCGAGCCTTTTTTCCGCGGTTTTTTCGCATATTCATCGGAAGAAAATATCGATTTTTAGACAGAAAAATACAGACTGAAATAATTATATTAATTTCTTCTCAATTTCGAACATCCCGCCCGCCTTGTCACCCGCTGACAATAAGACGCTATGAATGTTCGATCGCGATTGATAGTGGGGTAGGCGCGCGCCGGCGCGGCGAGATACACGTGATTATCGCGTGGAATGTCGCTCGATCAGCTGAAACGATGAACACGTGTTGACAGTGTGGTGCGATCAGCTGAGAATAGTGACACGCGGTTTCGATGTGAAATAATGCGTGTGAATGTGAACAGTGGTTACAGTGCGTATGTGATGTGTCGTGTATTTCTGTCTATGCGTTGCGTGTCGTTACGTCCGTTGTGAAGTCGGGAAGTAAGACGATTTTTACGAGCGGACGCACGAGCTCGGAGGTCGCGGTTCGAACGGTGACCACGCGTACGATCCCGTCGTCGCCGGGATGCAGTTTTGTGATCCGGGCGAGAGGCCATCGGTTTGGAGGCGAAATCTCGGAGCGCACAAGGCAGAGTGCTCCGATGTGAGGTGTGGTATCGACCTTCAACCATTTAGGTCGTGAGATGAGTCCATGGATGTACTCTCCCGACCATCTTTGCCAAAAGTGATCTCGCATCGCCTGGAGATGATGCCATCGTGATGCTGCGGATCCACTGGTGTCCTCCTGTACTGGCTCCGGGATGGCGAGAAGCGGCGCGCCGATCAGGAAGTGGCCCGGAGTCAGTGCTGTAATATCGTCTGGATCGTCAGAGAGTGCCTGTAATGGACGAGAATTTAAACAGGCCTCAATTTGTGTGAGGAGAGTGGTCAGTTCCTCAAAGGTGAGAGTGGTTTCACCTATCACCCTCCGCAAGTGATACTTAGCGGATTTGACGGCTGCCTCCCACAATCCGCCGAAGTGCGGAGCTGCTGGTGGATTAAAGTGCCACCGTATGCCATGTTCAGCAGCTACGCGTGCGATTCCACGACCCTCTGTGGATGCAGCGACGAAGAGTTCCCGTAAAGTGCGGTCAGCCCCGATGAAGGTCGTTCCACAGTCGCTATATATGTCCGTACAGAGACCTCGACGTGAGACAAAGCGACGTAAAGCGGCGATGAAGGCCTCTGAAGAGTAATCCGAGACAAGTTCGAGGTGGATGGCTCTGGACCAAAAACAGATGAATACTGCGATATAGCCCTTATAGGCGCGGTGTCCTCGTCCCTTGCTCGTTCGGATGAGGATGGGTCCTGCATAGTCCACTCCAGTGCGCAGAAATGGCCGAGTCGGAGTGACCCGATCGCGGGGTAGATTACCCATCGGTGGCTGCAGCGTCGTTGCTCGCCATCTTGTGCAGGTGATGCAGCGATGTAGTTGCTGTTTCACAACTGTGCGTCCTCGTGGAATCCAGAAGCGCAGTCGAAGCAGCCCCAGAGTAAGTTGCACTCCGCCATGCAGCGTCCGACGGTGACAGGATTCCACCAGCAGACGAGTCAGCCACGACGAGGTTGGAATGATCATCGGGTGCCTCTCATCTTGTGTCAGCAGGGCGTGCTTAAGCCGACCTCCCACTCTCAGAACACCATGGTCGTCGAGGAACGGAGTCAGCTTGACTAATGTGCTGCGTGGTGCGACGGAGCGTCCAGCTGCGACTGCGGTGATCTCGTCCGTGAAGTGCAGTGTCTGCACTTCTCGAAGCCAGCGAAAGAGTGCCATGTCGAGTTCCTCAGGACTCAACGTTAGTCCAGCGGTGTGAGTCGGCTCAGAAGCGCGCAGCCAGCGACGGCACCATGCGGATATCCGTAGCAGGCGATGCAGAGATGAGAAGCGGAGCAGGATTTCTGGCTCGACGATGACCCGGTTGACAGTCATCAGGCTCGTGGCTTTCCTTTCTGGCACGTCGTCTCCTCGGATCTCCATCACGGAATTTGGCCAGGCCGATTCGTGCTGTGACAACCAGGTAGGTCCTGTCCACCATAAAGCGTGATTGATTAGTTCGCTTGGATTAATACCCCTTGATGCACAGTCCGCAGGGTTGTCGCGACCAGCTACGTGTCTCCATTGTGCATTAGGCAGCTGCGTCTGGATGTGAGCGACTCGATTGGCGACGAAAGTCTTCCAGCGTGAGGAGTGACCGCGAATCCATTGGAGGGTCACTGTTGAATCTGACCATAAGTACGTGTCTGATGTTGCCAGGTCGAGCGTTTGTTTGACATGTCGCGTCAAATTGGTGAGTAGCGTGGCGGCGCACAACTCCAGCCTCGGCAAGGTCACTTGTTTGACGGGTGCTACCTTGCTTTTGGCCATCAATAACCTTACTGACGTTTCGTCCCTTTCAGTGATGCGGATGTATACTGCGGCTGCATATCCTCGTTCGGATGCATCGGCGAAGCCATGAAGCTGCAGCGAGGCCTTATCTGCTCCGGTCCCGAGCCAGCGTTTTATTCGCACCTGATCTAGAAGATGGAGTTCTTCTAGAAGACGTTGCCACTCTCGAGCGTCGGATGGCGGCAGCGGGGTGTCCCAGTCCAATCCTTGCAGCCACGTGGATTGAATGAGAATTTTTGCTCGAATCACGACTGGAGCGAGCCACCCCATTGGATCGAAGAGCCGTGCGGTTTCGGATAAAACCGTTCTCTTCGTGTGGTTGATGGCAGCGTGCGGATGAAACACGAAAGAGAACTGGTCGTGTTGCGGGTGCCAGCGGAGTCCTAGCGTGGAGTGACTCTCTCCTTCCCAAGCTGGCGGCAATTGCTGCAAACGATGATCGCTTGGTACTCCAGTCAGGATCCTCTCGTCGTTGGCTGCCCACTTCTTCAACGGAAATCCGCCCGCCAAGCAGAGGTTGCGAATTTCCATCTGGAGTGCGATCGCATCGTTCAGCGTATTTGAGCCGGTGACCACATCGTCGACATAACAATCTCGACGCAGAGCTACGGCGCCACGAGGAAACTGCTCTTCTTCGTCCGTTGCGAGCTGACGGAGTGTCCGTATGGCGAGAAACGGAGCACACGCCAGACCGTAGGTGACCGTTCTCAGCTGGTACTCTCGCACTTCATCATCAGTTGAATGACGCCACAGGATCGTTTGGAATCTGCAGTCATCCGGATGCACGAGTATCTGCCGATACATTTTCTCTATATCAGCAACGAAGACATACTGGTGTTGACGCCATCGGAGTAGTACGTCAGGAAGAGCTGGCAGAAGATTTGCTCCAGTCATGAGGTGTGCGTTTAAAGAGTCTCCAGTTCGCGTTCGCTGCGACCCATTGAACACGACCCTCAGCTTCGTCGTGGCACTGGACTCCTTGAGTACTCCATGATGTGGTAAGTACGTTGACTGATTGCTCGTTGTGGAGCATGTCACCAGCGTCATATGTTTCAGGTCTTCGTATTCTGTCATGAAGCTGCGATACAGATTGCCGAATCGAGGGTCCTGGACGCATCGCCTCTCCATCGTTGTGAGAAGCCGCTCGGCTGGTTTGCGGGTTTCGCGGAGTGCAGTGATTGGTGAGGAGAACGGCAGCTTCACCACGTATCGTCCTGAAGAGGTGCGAGTGTGCGTGTGCACGAAGAAGTCCTCGCATTGCTGCTCTTCGGCGGAGAGTGTCGTGACTGCGTTGGGCTCCCGTTCCTGTTCCCAAAACTGCTGCACCAGCTCGAATAGCTCGTGATCGGCAGTGCACTGGAATGTGCGACGGTGCTCTTCTGCGGATGCGACGCCGGAGCCTCCAGAGAGGATCCATCCTAGCGATGTCTTCTGCGCGATTGGCATCTGAGGTCCACCCTTGCGTAGACCCTCTTCAAGAATTAAGGAGCACACCTCCGCTCCCAGGAGTAGCTCGGCTGGATCGTTCTCGCGAAATTGAGGATCCGCCAGTTGGAGTCCTCGAATATGCGGCCAATCTTCTGGTGTGCTGGACGTGGAGCCTTGAAGAAGTGACAGGCGTGGCAGTATGAACGCAATCACGGAGAGCCGGGCGTTCGTGATGTCCGAAGTGAGGTGCAGCGTGACCTTGCCACGCGTTGATCCTGGTCGTGCGCCTCCGATCCCAAAGATGGCCATGTCGGTGCGTGATCGAGGCAGGTTCAGTCGTTGCACCAGTGCTTCAGAAACGATCGACACCTCTGATCCCTGATCGATCAGTGCTCGGACGTCGTGCGGTGCTCCATGGCGATCGGCTACGTTCACCCGAGCAGTGGCGAGGAGTACAGCCTTCTGCTCCTTGGCTTTGTGCAGTGCGGCGAGTGAAGTGGCTTCTGGTGTTGTGCGGTGACCGTGCTGTATGCGTCGTGCAGTGAAGTGTGATGACGTGCCTTGCATGTGTAGCAGTTCTTCTTCGACTGACATTTTGTAAGATAATGATTTCCGAGGCAGTTGAAACACAGTCTGTGCGTCTCAACGAAGGCCTTTCGATCTGCCGCGGATTTCGTCTTAAATTCGCGACACGTCATCAGATGGTGCTTCTCATGGCACAGTGCGCATTGTGGAAGGTCAGTTCCGTGCTTCGCAACATGTGTCTTCGCCGTTCGTGAAGACTCTCCGAAGTTCTTCTTGAGAGTCTTCGGATGCACGGCGTTAAGTGTGAACATCCGTCGCGTCATGAACTCCAAAAGTGTTTCGTGCGATGGTGACTTGTTGGAGTCGGATATGGAATTTTCCCATTCCATTCGAGTGTGTGCGTCGAATTGCTCGACGATAAGATAGTTTAGGAGGTCCATTCCGTGAGATTCAATGGGACGACCTATACTCTCCTGTGCGTTGACGACTGTGACGGCAGCGTTGTGGATGCGATGCAGTTCGTCAGCAGTTCCGTTCTTCATTCTCGGCACGGCGGTGAATGCGGCGAAGTTGCATCGGATGAGTTCTCTCTCATTTTCGTAGTGTTTGCACAGTATCGTCCATGCACGTTCGTAGTTGTCTCCTGTCACCGGTAATGAACTTATCAATTTTTCAGCCTGTCCGTTCAAACTCGACCGAAGATGATGCAGGCGTTCGATGTTAGAGATGGTGGCGTTATCACCGACGACAGACAGGAAGAGATCTCGGAAGGTTGGCCACTCGGAGTAAGCTCCCGAAAACTGCGGAATCCTGACTCGAGGTAATGCGGTTCGAGGAGCGGCTTCGTTTAGCTTGACGGTTTCCGAGGCTGACCGAATGCGTTCAGCGTAGCCGTCCAGGATGCTCCTTTGCTGTACGTACGTATTTTCAGTCAAATCATGGAGTCCTGAAGTAACGTAATCACTTTCTCTGAACTTATCTTTCAAGGCAATACGCAGCTGATCGTGCTGGATGACGAACTTATCCCAGGCTTGATCAAGAAGTCTGATGCGGGTAGTTACGGCACTGGATGTGATGTTAGGAGCGCCCATCTTCTTCAGGTATTCGACCGAGCGTGAGATTCGAACTTGGATCTCACGCTGACTATCTAATAATATAGCGGCATCCATGATGTGACACTTACAGTATTTCTTTTTCAGGCACTTCACTCTCGTCTTCAAGAATGTTCACACGCGTGCCGGCGCGACGAACTGATAAAATCTCCGGCTCGAAGGACCAAAAAATGTTATGTTTGCGCGAACGCGAGAAGGAGAGCGCGTATTAGAAGGCCGATAGAAATCATTCACTCTTTAATAATTAACACAGAATTTACTTTCACAATTTAACGATACAGTAATTTTACAAAGTTCCAATAGATAAGCCGAGATCGATTTCCAAGTGAGTGTGCGGTAATAATTGCGGTAATAATTGCGGTAATTTATAAGCGGTTTAATAGCGGTTGTACGTACTGAGACTCGAGAGACTAGCCGCCCAATTTTGGTGGGCGCTTCTTTTATCGGTGCGGTACTGAAGCCCCACTAATTTTTACTTCACCAATTAATTTCGGTTATTTAAAAATGTTCGAAGGTGACGCGAGGGCGCCTGTCTTTATTGGAGGCCCCGTAATTTACGCGAAACAAGCACGCACCTGACATGCGCGAAATGCTCGATAGCGAGATCGATTGGCTTTCGGAAGCCACGTGATCGAACGGCGCATGTCTATTACATTGATAATCAATGCGGTGATCGTTGCTTTCGGTTAAGCAATGTTGTTGTTATTGACAGCTTGTTAAAATAATCCTGATTTATCGCCTACTTGTTTATATCGGGCGAGCCTTTTTTCCGCGGTTTTTTCGCATATTCATCGGAAGAAAATATCGATTTTTAGACAGAAAAATACAGACTGAAATAATTATATTAATTTCTTCTCAATTTCGAACAACTCAAAAGAACCTGCATGACAGACGAAACCTTTGTATTTCAAATAACTTTTCGAATCAATTATTCACAGAACTGTGCGATTTAAACATTGAGGAGGAAATTCTTAGAAGAACAGTGTCCTGATATCTTATTTAAATCATCAATATGCTAGTTATTTAAATTTTTGAATCATTTCTCAAATGTCATCAGAATACTATTAAGGGTATCGTTTTATTAACGAAAATTCAACATATATATTATCGCCCTAAACAGACGTTTTAGAGGGAAACATCGATTTAGAAATTTCTCGTCTTTTAGATAACATTAATAATTGCACACGATAAACTTAAATGCGAATTATAAATGAATAAAATCCCCATTAGGGTTCTAAGAGATTTGGAAATCTTTCTAAAATAATAAAAAATTAAAATCAAATAC